ATAAAACAATAAGTAAATTAAAATTAAATTAGATAATTAAATTGTGTTACTTTTGTGTGATTTGAAAAGGGTAATTTAATTTTGTGCAAGTGTGCATCTATAGAAATTAACCTACATAAGTAAACTTAAAAATTATACATACATAAATTTATTTATAAGAATTAACATATTTACATACAAACATGTGTGTAGACGAGTACGCATGTTTATAGCAACAGATGCCTAAACGACTTCATGTTGCCCTAAGCAATTTAAATTTTAACCGCATTTCCGAGGCATGACGCCAGTATTCTCGCACTTTTCGCACGTTTTTACGTGACATACATAAGTACGTATGTATGTATTTCTATTGCATTTAACGAAAAATTGATACGAGTAAAAGTGTAGCATTAATAATGCGTCCATTCACCTATTTACATATGTGCCCAGAATCTTTGTGCATTAAAATAGCCAAATAAAGAAGCTCAACGGAAGTGTGATCGCCGGGGAGAAAAGTCTTATGCAAAATTTTATATGTATTTCGTGTAATACCTCTAAATAAATATATAAGCATACATAATTATATAGGTATGTATGTATGTCCATGCAAAATTATGTACACAGCATCCCACTGGGATATAGGTAAGCACCTTACGAGGCAATCCAAGTTTTCTTTCAGATTTTAGTACCAAAATGTCTTCTATTAGTAAAGCAAAAAAAAGGAAACCCCTCCCCGTCGCGCATAGCATTCGAAGTTGCAAAATAACGTTACGCCGGAATTATTTCCGAGCGCTGAACTACTCCGAGCGTCTGCTCTACATTCTACGCACTTTACACTTGGTAAAGCGACTCGGAAGTATTTCTGATACCAAATGTACATCCATACTAAATTCCTACTTCCATAAGGCAGCCAGCCACGCCTTTGTTAAAGTACGGTAGATTCGGCAGGGAAGTCTAATAAGTTGCGGGTAAGATATTATTACGTGCTCCTATTTCCTATATAGGGATCATAGAAAATAACCAATAACGTATACTCAAGTTCGGGCGAAACCGAAGGGTATATACCCGGCGCACAAATTAAAAATCGTTTTACACCTTACTGTAAAATAAAAGATAAGCAAGGATACTTTTCCCGATTTCATACAAATTCGATAATGGGTTAAATTTCGTATTTCTGTAAAAGACCGTTATATGGGAAGTGGGCGTATTTATCATGCGATTTAACAAATTTTCAAACGGTTTCTTTATTTTATTCTATGCAAGGTCTGTACCGAATTTGGTGTGGGTTGGTGAAGCGGCTATTGAGATACAGCATTTCACCATAGGTGGTCGGTGTCACGGGAGGGGCGCGGTTACCATCCGATTTCGCCCATTTTCAGTACCAACTTACTTTGTATAAAGGGCAGCTGATGGAGGGACGGACCGACAGACATGGCATAATGTTACAAAAAAAACAAAGTTAATATACCTTAGTGCACAAGTGCGCTGGGATATAAAAAGCACATAAATTCAAGATCTACATTTTTTTAAATTAAAATTGGGATTTAATATAATTGTTGCCTCCTTCAACTAACTAAAACTTAAAGGACAGCAAAATGAAGCTATAATCACAAAACATTAAACGAAATATTTGAAAAATTTACTAAAACCACTCAATTAGTCATAAAATATTAACATCATACGTTTTCTTTGAAGAGATTTTAATGTTTGTTGCGCTGACTTTGATCGCCAATTTGTTTTGTCAGGTTGCCAATACACATGCCCCGTTTCCGGCTGTCTACCATATACATACATACATACATACATATGTACGCACGTATGTAAATATGTGCATGTACATATATTGATGTTTTCTGCTAATAATTTATTGCTTTCCTATTATACCTGGCGCATTTTAACTTCAATAAGACTTTTTCTATGTACTACTATTTATAGTTAGCAAGGTGTAATTAACCACATGACCCAGAAAACTTGGTCAGAAGAATTCCGTACAGGTCACAAAATACAAACAAAAATATTTGAACTCTGGTCCGAAAATTGCCAGCACCCACAGTGCTGTGCGAGCGGGCAAAAATCAAAAGTTTTTTTTTTGTCTCAAGTATGGACGTTGCGGTAGCGGTACCATCAAAGTATCGATACTAGGGATGTTAATTTTTCGGCTTTTTCCGTTACCGGGATTTTCGGGATGCCGTTATCATGATCCCAGGATCCTGGTATTAGTCCCGGGATTTAGATATTCATTATTTTTCAACAACTTAAATCGAAAAAATTGCTTCTATCTCTCCTACCATAATAAATAAATAATAAATAAATGGGTGTGATACCTGCTTTTTAATTTAAAGCGGCGTTTTTATTTTTTCTCTTTGACGTCGGGATTTATTTTAAAGGACTTTGTAATTTCAAAGATTTGATTAATTTCAAAAATTATTTAAAAAATTCAATGCAATGTAGAATAAAAGTATGGGTACCAAATGAAAGAGGAGATTTCTTTAAAATTAAAAAAGAAATAAAGTTTTTTTGGTTTCACGATGATGAAAGGGCAATTTTTTTAAGCTGATCAACTTAGAAGGACGAAATTCGAGGATGTTATCGAGTTTATATAAGTCCTTAACATATAATTTTTTCAAAACCAAATATTGCGAAATTTTAGGGATACAATTTTAAGAGCACATTTTCAATATTTATCAGTCCTTATGCACCAGAAACTTGAATCTGTTTAAATTCTACAAGATTTCCTCATTAATTTGTTATATTTTTTTCTCTAAGCACATTTCTCTGAGTTTTTTAAAGTCATTTTTTAATTACTGACGTCAGAGTGAAAAATTAAAAACGCAATTTTACTATATTTGGCCCACGGTTTCGCGAATATATTGATATTTGTGTTTAAAATTCACCATCGCGCGGTGTTATATGTATAATGAGTTAGACATTTATAAAAAAATATTAATTATTAAATAAAAAAAGAAATATAGCCAATATTGGTCAAGAAAAGGAGTTTCTATTATTGCCGCCAGTGCAAATTACAAATCCCGAAAATCCCGGGATTACCTGCCAATAATTCCGGCATTTTCGGGACCTTAAAAAGGCCGCGACTGCGGGATTAACATTCCTAATCGATACCTATTTAAGAGAGTTTACTAATCGCTATTTCGATACTATTTATATGAATGAACCGAATGTATCGATATCTACTTATATCGACAATTGTTCATCCTTTTATATTTATGAAGCAAAGCGTTATCTATGACATACCTTTTTCGCACCTGAGTGGAGGATCGACCTATCTCGACAGCCAGTTCGGAGATATTGAGTTTAATTTTTAACTGTTCCGTTAAAAATTGCCTAAGATAACTGTAAAAAATTAATTTATTAAAAACAAATTAAATTCTATAGTTTAGACTCGCTATATATTAAAGGCAAATTTATTTTGTTGAAAATAAAAATATTGCTTAAGTTTAAAGGAGTAAATCTAAAAATCATGTAAAATCATGTTTTGTTTTATACCATAAATCAAAAGTACGGCTTTTATCTGTAGAAAAATAAAATAAAAATATGCCACTTTTTTGCACTTTACGAAATAATGCGGTTTTGGCAGATGCATCAAATAATTTTGTGTAATAAAGGTCTAATTTATTGAAAAGAGTTACCACCTGTTAATAAATCGAATTGAAATAATTTAATAAGTTAAATTAATTATTAAAAGATGGGTATCAATCTAAATGGAGGTGGAAAGAGTTGATTTCCTAACTAAATGTGGGAGGGTTGCCACCTGTTTAAACAATGAAATTCCATATTAATTTATGGAATTAGGTGACTGAAATACATATTACCATATATATGTGAGTCAGACGAAAGAGGTTTAAGGTCATAGCTTGCATAGGTATATTTTGAAGATGGTCGCCACCTGTTTGCAAATCGAATTTAATTAAACTTTTCATAACCTGTATACGTACATATATGAAATATTAAAATATTTATATCAAACGAAAGGGTTACGGCATCTTATTTGTTATTTTATTACTGGACCCTTAAATTAACTTTAAGGTTTCAGGAATTTGCTTATTCTTCACTTGTTTTTTTTTTGCTAAATATTATAAATTTGTTCTTTGGTCTGACACCCATGTTATTATACAAATTTCAGTTACCCAAATCCATTAATTAGTTTGAATTTAATTGTTTGAAGAGGTGGCAACCCTTATACGTTTAGTTTAGAAGTAAATTATTTTCAAAACCATGTCGATTGATATCCATATTGTAATTACTAATTCATTTAACTTATTAAATAATTTGAATTCAATTATTTAACAGCTGGCAACCCTTAAAAAAAAATAAAACTTGACTGAATATCTACAGGCTAATTTCTACAAACTCACACTTCACTTTTGAAAATGGAACGAACTATATGTACATACTGTAAGAGTATATAGTATACATGCACTAAACATTAAGTTTAGGTATTGTAAACTAGACATACAGTCAGTCAATAAAGTTTAGGTACAGCGAATTTTTTACGATACGGGCAACTATTTTTTAAATGTTTTTTTTTTTTTGCTAATAATGTTCGATAATTTTTTTATATGGAAAAAATGTGCGACACCTTCAACAAAAAAATTTTCCAAAAATCAATGGTAATTGCTAGCTTTCTCATACTTGCACATTATTTTACTAAAATTGAATGGGCTAAAAAATGCATACTCGGCTTTTTTCTAGAGAGAAATGAAATCGGTTTTGGATTAAATTAATTGTTTAAAATTTGTATTCGATATGATGATTAATGCCCTTGCAACGAACATCAAATCAAAAAGTTATAGGAAAAACCCGAAAACAATTTTTACTCTCCCATTATGTGTTCAAAATCACTTGGAACAAATTGAAATTTTCACTGTGATAAGGTCTAATGCACATACATGCATACACATGTACCTATGTATTTCGATTACGTATACGCCAAGTGGTTCCCCAAACAACATTTTCGCAACTAAGGAGAAATGCAAAATTTCAAAACAAAATTGCGTTTTCAGGTGTTAACCGACTGCTCTCCAACTAGTGATGGATACTTGGAATGTTTTGGCAGTGCAAACCTCCTCTTCGGCTATAGGACGCGATGACATTACTGTGGCATCTAAGGAGAAGCTGGTGAGTAAATTTCCTACTTCAAGGGAGTGAGGTACATATATGTATGTACTTAACCCTCATCTTACCAACATAAACAAGTTGCAAATCCTACCAGCATGTGTCTTCAAGACACATATATGAAAATAAAATTAAAATATGAGTAATGTTCGGTTTTGGCACCATCCAAGTCGGATGCAAATTTTTTCAAACAACATATCCGGCTATTTCACAAGTGCCAACCAAATTACAGAAGAATGTGAATGGCCATCTATTTTATTTTCTGCGGCAAGTAAAACTATGCGCAAGTTGGTCCAAAGTATCTACTGCGCCCTTACTTTGATTGTAATGCAAATTTATTTCTGAGTTGGTTTTGTTTTGGGTGTCGAAAGTAGATGCCGAATGCTTCGAATATAGGAAAAGAACTGCTCTTTTTGGTGCTGAGACATAAGATACCAAAGTCATACTTTTTGTGAAACCAAATATATTTTTGTTTCTATTTGCTTTCCTGTTTGGTAACACAACGTTTATTCTTCTTTAGAATACCTGTGAGTGATTAATTTAGTCAGTTGATGTTTTTTGATTTTTTTTTTGTTGAGGGTGTTCAGAATTTTCTTCCATGTAACGTATGAACAAAATATATTTTTATATGAAAGAAAAAGCGCAACACCCTCGGCAAAAAAAAAAAAATTCTAAAAAATCAACGGTAATTTTTAGTGACTTGAAACTTGCACTTATTACATTTATTTAATGGGCTATAAAACTGCATACTCTAAAATTGTTTAAAAATTCTGAATAAAAAGTTTGAAATTTTGATGAAAATTTTTTGAAGTTTGATTCATTTTTATGAACTTTGTGGAAATTTTGAAACTTTTATTTCTGTGGTTTCTGTTATAAACCGAACTATATTTTAAATGAATAACGTAGACACATCAAGTTAAACAACAAAATGTGTCTCACAAACACATGTTGGTAAGATTAGGGTTAAGACAACGCATAAATAGATTGTAAACACAAATTTATCCATGTGGTTACATACATACATACATACATATGTACATGCTTGTACTATGCAACATAGTTTTGCTCTCACCGATCGAGGTGTTTGACCGAACGGTGATAAAAGAACACGTTGTTAGCGCACTGTCGGTGGTTTTGTCGGTAGAAGAAGATCTCTGGCAAGATCTCAGATTCGTTGTTGTGAAAACACAAACAATCTCTCAAAATAATCTAAAAATAAAGTACACTATGCGCTCTTCGCTATTACTGCGAGCATTATGGAGGATCCGTCTGTGCCAGCAGTTCGTAGGAAACATTGCGTTCATTGTGATTTGTGTTGAGATTTGGCACTAAAGAAGGCAACATTTTTACATAAGACAGGTGTGCAAGTAAATTTGTGCTGCAATTATTTTGCTAAAATCGAAATATTTCAAGTAAATTGGAGTAAAACCAAAAGTGCATACAATTTAAAATGGATTTGTCAACTGATATTTGGGGTCAACTGGCTGTCGAGGCGTCGCAGGTGTACCTTTCCGATGGTACCGTACGTTCGCCCTTCGCAAATACGGTATGATAAGTATACATTTGGTAGAAATTTGAAGAATTGATGTGATTATCAGTTGCTTTAGCGTCAAATGCCACTAACTGTGCTATACTGCAGACCATTCAATTTGGAACACACTGATGTACATATGTATGTATGTACATACATATGTATGTAGTTGCGTTATATGCTATTTTTGTGCTTTGTCGGGGGTGCATTCGAAATATTATTTTTCTTCAGTTGCTTGCTCTGCACTCATCTATTCAAAATCATAAAGTGGCCTATTTATTGCAGTAACCTTGAAATTGCCTGCAACTATCAGACTACATACATACATATGTATAATGCTCTTTTGTTGCGTTTCAGACGATCGAAAAATTGCCCGACAAGGTGCTGCTGCACATCTTTTCTTACCTGTCGCATCGTGAAATTTGTCGATTGGCGCGCATCTGTCGACGCTGGCGTCAGATCGCCTATGATACACGTCTCTGGAAAAATGTTTCACTACGCCCGGAGGTGTCTGGCCTACACGTTGGTTCGCTGGAATCTTTGCTTGCACTCATCTCTGTGCGTTTCGGTCCCACGCTGCGCTACATTGAGCTGCCAATCGAGCTGATTACGCATACAGTGCTGCATGAGCTTTCTGCCAAGTGTCCAAATCTCACCCATATGCTGCTGGACTTCTCCACAGGTGAGTTGTTGTATGCACATATATGCGATTGATGCAGCTATCAAAAGCTACAATGTATCACTCTATCTTTGCAGCCATGCAGTTGCATGATTTCAGCGAGATGCAGGCTTTTCCCACCAAGCTGCGCTACATGTGCATTTGCCTTTCAGAGGTGATCTTCATGGAGGGCTTCATGCGTAAAATTTACAATTTTATCAATGGCTTGGAGGTTTTGCACCTCATCGGCACCTACGAGAAGTGCGAAGAGGAGGAAGAGGAGATATACGAAGTTATCAATGTGCATAAACTCAAATCGGCCACGCCCAATTTGCGTGTGATCAATTTGTATGGCATTAATTTTATTGACGACTCGCATATAGATGCCTTCAGCTCGAATTGTATTCAGTTGGAGTGTTTGGCTGTGAACTTTTGCAACAAGGTGACTGGCAGCACTCTGAAAACACTAATACAGCGTTCGAAACGATTAAACTGCTTGCTAATGAACGGTACTAGTCTGAAGTCGGAATATGTAATGCAGGTTGAATGGGATAAATGCGCCTTGCAGGAGCTAGACATAACCGCCACTGATTTGTCGTCTGAATGCCTTATTGATCTGTTGACGAAAATACCAAATTTGAAGTTCCTGTGTGCGGGCCAAATCAATGGTTTTAATGACACGGTGCTGAAGCAATGGATGGAGTCGGGGCTGACGAGGTAAGCGGTTAAGAGGGGCACAGTAGTCGTACCATCATATTGCATATGTGGGAACGATCATGACACAAATTTCAGAACAACCAATTCACAAGTTATGCGGGGAATATTTTCTCATGATACAACACATTTTTAAAAAGAGGAAAAGTTTGCGTTAATACTTAGGAACATAGTTGATTTACCTCAACCCGATAAAGACCAATTACAATATTATAATCTAATACTCTATTTCCACCAAAGGCTTAACTGAAGTTAGGAACATAGGTGGGTTTCAAGAATTTTAACATGGGGTGACCGATAAAGTGTATATAAAATTTCATATCTTATTGTTACTGTTATTGGTAATAAAATACCGAAAAGTGGCGCAGTCTAAGTTTGGTACCAAAAAAGAAAAAAATGGAGGACGATTTTTTTTATTACTTCAATATTTTTGCGCGAAATTTGAGATTCGGGGCTTTTCGTGGTTGCTGAACTCAAATCTGGTATCAGATAATGATAATTCTTATTCGCATATCAATATTGGATCTACTATTTATAACGGAAAAGTTAAAATCAGAAACATAACTATTATAAGAGAAAAGAATAAAAGTCAATCAATAATTATTATATTAAGATAAAAATGTTTCGAGTCATCTATAATTATTATTGAAGAACTTACATTACATAAAAGTCCTTCATAATAATTATCAGAGAGATACATATTTTTAAGTCTTCAAAGATTTTTATTTTGAGACTTATATTATAAAAGTCCTTTAATAATAATTCTCATTGAGATAAATATTTTTAAGTCTTCAAAGACTTTTATTTAGAGAATTATATTATAAAAGTAGTTTTGTAATAATTATGAGTGGGAAAAAATTTTTCAAGTCTTAAAAGATGGCTGATTCAGGACCATTTCGGGATTAGTTGGAGACCAGCTCGGGGTTAGTTGGGGAGCAGTTTGGGACTATTCGGGGAGTAGTTTGGGCCCAGTTGGGGCTTAGCTAGGGATCAGTTCGGGATGATATGTATAATATAGTTCCAATGTAGTCCCCAACTGGACCTAAACTACTCCCCAACTAGTTCCGAACTGGACGCCAACTACCCCCGAACTAATCCCGAAATGGTCCTGAACAAGCCCCGTCCTTTAAGACGTAAACAATTTTTTCGCACTCATAATTAACATGCGAAGACTTTTATAATATAAGTCTCAAAATAAAAGTATTTGAAGACTGAAAAATATTTATCTGCTGATAGTTATTATGAAAATACTTTTATTATATAAGTCTTAAAATAATAGTTATCGATGACTTTAAAAATTTTTCTCACACACAATTATTATCAGAAGATTTTTATAGTTCTTCCGAAAATTTTGATGACTTTTTTATAACTCCACCATGAAATAATTATTATTCTGGGTCTCTGGTTAAAAACGAATGTACGTACATGGCGTATGAGTAACATTCTTATCTCTTCTTAGTAACTCATACGCCATGTACGTATTTCCGAATTTAACTATTCCGTTTCAAATGGTAGATCCAATATTGATCGGCGATTAAGAATTTTGAAAATGTTACAGCAGATTTAAGTTCTGCAATGCCGAAAAGCCCCGAATTTCAAATTTCGAGCAAAAATGTTGAATTGAAAAAAAATCGTCTTCCATTTTGGATCAGTCATTTTGAAATTTTAAAATTTGACAACAGACTTGAATTCAGCAACCCCCGGAGACCCTCAAGTTTAGAGCAAAAATGTTGAACTAAAAAAAATCATTCTCCATCTAGAATCCGCTACTAATCCGATACTTAAATTTAAGGGGCTTTACTGCATACCTTAATTTTTTCTAAAAATTGCGAATATAAGATTTTTGGATGTAACTGATAGTTTGTTAAATTTTTATAATTTTTCTGCGATGTCGGAAATGTGGATTTATGCATATGGTGCTGGCTATGTAATGTGCTAGACTTAAAAAAAAATTATTAAAATTAAATAAACAAGTGAATAAAATTATAGTTCAAAAAACTAAAACCTCCCTATTATAATTGCCATTCGTACTGTCATCAGGTATGTAACTTGAGAATAGAAATCGCTGCATCTTTTAGGCGCATCAATATTACATAGTTACATCCCGAGCTAATAAAAGGAATGTAAAAAAAATAGCCAAACCCGAACAAAATGTCACTTAACCACAAGTGTTATGCACATCCCAAGTGTCACATAACAAAACATATTAAAGTAATGCGTTGGGTTTTGACAAACAACTTCTCATTTCTGTAGGTTGGAAACTAGAGTGAAATATAAGGAAATTTCATTCAAAATTTAAAAATTTTATTTCTCTATCTTTCATTAATATAGCATCTTAAACTACTATTATTGATTATTAAAAATAAAAATATCATGTGAGAACTCAATGAATTACTACTTTAAAGACAAAATTATCTCCATCGAGAGAAGTTGTTTGTCAAATCTCCACAGATATGCACATTAGGGTGCATCACTCTCCATAGAAAAAAAGAACGTTACTGTTGTTCCATCGGAAATATAAATATAAATGTATAATATTTTAAGACTTCCGCCAAAATATTTTGGAAAAATATAAAAATCCAGTCTCTTATAAATTAATTGATTATGTTTTTTTTTTTAGATATTTTTCCTAAAAAAACAACTCAGATTATGGCCAAAACGGTCCAGATCAATTTAGTCTTAATATTTTTGATTTTGCGGACTATTTTGGCGGCATTATTAAAATATAGTCGGCCTTATCGCGAAATCCATGTGAACAAATATTCTCAAAAGTTATAATGTATATGCATGCAACCTGGTCCTCCCCTCTTATCGAGTTAGTCGCCAGGATTTCATCAATTTTTGCCATTTTATTCAGATTTATTCAAGATTTATGTAAATCTTCCAAATAAAGGAAAAGCTGCAATTGCCAAAAAACATTAGACTTACACATTAGACTTACATACATTCGAAAAAATAAATTCTATCCCCATTATAATTTACTAATGTTTAACGTACAGGTCTCTTATCTCGTTGGACTTGGACTCCTCGGATAATATTTCAGATGAAGCGTTGCAGAAATTCCTCATGCGCCATGGCCAACAGTTGGCCGCATGCTGTCTCTCTGGCATGCCACATATTACCGATCAGCTCTGGATGAGCATATTGCCTGTGTTGTCGAATGCAAAGTAAGTGCTGAATTTCACAATTTCAAGAATAACTGTATATGATGAATTCATTCCGGAAGAATTATTGTTATGGGAACAGCGGAAAAACTTGGCGTCAATATACACGTCGATCAATTAATGGATACGATTGCGTCGAGCTGTGGAAATTTAGAGCGATTAGAGCTAAGATGGGATCCGGATAATTTGCGTTTCTCAGACAAGAGTCAAAAAGCCATTGATTTACTCCGTGTCAAAGGTCTCAAGTTGCGCTGCATGGTTTTGAGGTGAGCTATAGTTTTTCCAATAATTAATTTATTTAAGTATTATGATGGAATTGAATTATATTTTCTTTTTGTGATTAAGTGATGGTCGATACTATGAGACGGTGAAGGCGAATTTCGAGCGCGCCGATCGTGTAACTGTCGTACGCACTACGACTTGTTGCCGCGTATCACCTTACCATTTGTTGCGCAATTACAATGAATTGATTTTCAATTAAGAACGTAATAGAATTATTCAATGTTGTTGTTTTACTGGCCATTTTTTGTGAACTGAAATGTTATTGTTGCTTTTTTAAATTAAATTAAAATAAATGTATTTCTCAATAAAATCAATTTACTACATATGTAGGATATATTTTTAAATTTAATTTATTGGATTGGGAATGCAAAAAAATTTACACAAAGGCTTTATTTCAACAAAAGCTCTATTTTGTCTAATGTAGAAGAAAAAAATGTTTAGCCATAAAAGTTTTAATTAAACGATTAAAATTGGATTTACAGTTTTTTCAATCACAATAAACCGTTATTTTCAGATTTAAAGTTTTCAATCAAAAATGATTCCCAAGAGGCCATAAGAGCGTAAGTATGAACCAGCAAGCTTAGTCTAAATTAAAAAAAAATATTTTTCGTCGGGGGAAAAAAATTATTTAGGGCCTTTGTGAATTAAGATAACGACATATATGTATATTAATTTTTATAGAACAGGCTAATAGAAGATGGTCTGTAGAGCCCACATGCAGGATAGCACGACACATCTGGCCTGAATTAGATAGAAGATCTGGAGTACTCTCGGGCTTGAATCACCAATGCTCGATATATAATCGGGATTACTGCCCGATGAAGACGCTTGCCAAAAATCGAGTGACCTCTGTCGTCTTTGCCGCGATGTAGAGGAAATTGAGAATGTAGCTATCTATGACACAGCCCTGCTTTGACGAAGGCTCGTGGACATTCGTACCAGCACTGCTTTTTTTGGAGCGTCGTGACTTTCATCAGAACGACGAATCGGTTTCACCTCTAGGGCCTATGAGCCTATGGCGGCCCTAAGTAAGCTTTCTTCAATTGAATGGTCGCCGCGAATAACGTTGTAAGCGACAAGATTATAATATTGCAGAAATAAAAAGAAAATGTGTATAATGACGCACAGAAATAAGCTAAATTTTTTGGTTTTTTACTTTTTCGGTATAGAAGTATCCAAGAAACTTACTGTTACAGTATAAAGTATACTATATGTACAATGTAACTGTAAAGTTAAAGAAACTGGTGACAAGAAAATTATCGATTACAACGTTATTCGCGGTGACCATTCAATTGTTTGATGGGGGCTGTCACGATAACAAAACCAACGCATGTATGTATGTATATTCAACAACTATTTTAAAAATAAAATAGTAGATTTCATATGCAAAAACGCAATGTAAAATTATGCGATAATTTAAGTACAAAAAAAGAAAACAGTTTAATAATATCGTTCCAAGCTCTCTCCTCTCATTTTGAAAGCGTATTAGAAAAAATCTTTAATTTAAGTTCTTTTTTCTTTTGTTTCATAAAAGTAATTATTGCATTTATGGTAAAACTTACAAAACAAAGGTTTTATATACATATTAACAATTTCATATGCATAGATATAAACGCTAACTGTATGTAAATGAATTACCCACAGCCATCTTCACATATACATAATAGCAAACCAAATCGCAGGCTTATTTTTTCATATTATACAAAATTATAGTTTTATTAAATTTAATTTCGTCTAAGTATTTAGGCGTTTATTATTTCTTTCATTTAGTTTATTTTCGTTAACGCTTTGTGGATTTAATGTTTATGCACGAGTGTAAATTTACGTTTTTATGTGATTTGTGTGGACGTATTTTTTGCAGATTTCCACAAACTCATTTAACGTTCGGGGTGTGGGCGAACGTTTTATTACTCGTGTGTTCTTTTTATATTAAGTAGTATATACAAACAGTACAAGCCGTTAGATAACGCAGCACAATTGAAATATTCCCAATGCGGCCATCTTTTTAGGGCTTGTGATCTAATATAAAATGTATATGACAACTTCAACAATATAATTCGGGTGCATCTTTGCTTTCACTTAGGCCACTGCCACATGAGTAATTGATTTCTTGCCTTTCAACGTTTTCGTTGAGTGTACAGTGCTTTGCTGGTTGCTGCAGAGCTCTTTGAACATGCTCCTTATAACCTTATTTCTCTGATCCATAAGGGACGTGCCTTTTTTTATACAATATTTAAAAATTTTGTACAATTATCCTATTTCGTTGGGGTTTTATCTAACCGAAGGCTATTGAGCGGCTTTTACCCATCCTATATAATAGTTATAATAAGTTTTCCTACCAACCGAATATATCGCTCTTGCTAAACCTATATAAATACACACTATTAACTCAAGCAATTTCATTGTTGAGTGCATTTATATGTCTTTTTTGTTGTTGTGCCTGCCACACCCACCCGCGTTCACATACAACCCCATTCAACAGTTCGTTTGGATTTTGTTCTAAATTTCATTTAATCTTATGTTTTAACTATATCCCAAAGTTTATTCCTGCATCCCAACGTCTGGTGACAATCGAAATGTTTGTGTTGTGTTGCTAGCAGCTGCTGTGGCCACCGCAGCTGCAGAAGATGTCGTAGCTGCCGTACTTGTGGTTGTGTTGCTTGCCAATCTGGGCGTTGAGCTGGCAGAGCTGGAGGTGTGCTCTTCGTCGCCCTCATTCTAAATAAAAATAAAAATTATCGTCATTAATGTTGACTGATAGGTAAAATATGTAAGTATTGCAGTTATACATTGTATTGATGCACAGCGGGCGCCGGACTATCTGCTGGCGCCTGGGCATCACTCTCTTCACTTTTGTCCGAATACATCATGATTTCGTGGCAAAGAGGGCAGCGATCTTGCACGTATAACCATTTACGTAAGCATACGCCATGGAAATAATGCCGGCAGCGTGTAATTTTTGCGGAATACATTTCCTGCACGTTGATGAACATTGGATTAATTCTATGTTGTTATTAAACATTTTGCTACAATTACCTGATAGCATATGGCGCAAACATCGTCGAAGGCATGTAATTGTGCTGGAGTGGCCTCGGGCAGAGCAGAGATCTTGTGTACGGCCGAACGTCGCTTCATGAACACGGACCAACCGGCTCGAGCCTCACACCAAATGTTGAAGTAGGCATGGATGCACATCATGATGGCTCTTATAGCGCCGCCTATAACATTTTCGGCTATCAAGTTATATGTATTTATTATATGGGAGCAAAGCAACAAAAGAAAAGAAAGGGGTCATAAACACACGCGCGCACACAGAAAGTTCTTTGCGCGGGCCTGCTCCACAAACTTAAGTAGCAGGAAAAGCAGAGACGGCACACGCAAAGCATTAAGAAAACTTAGAACCAAGAAATGATAAACGAATTGAATACACAAAAAATGATGGTGGGCGAATGTGGTGAGTAACTAAGTGAGGAATGAGCATAGATTAAATATGGCAAAGATAAAATGATAGTCGAAATGGTTGTTATAATACATGCACACGAACATACATTCAGCACCGACATAAAACGCTACGACTTAATTAGTGTGATGCAGCGCTGGTCTTCAACTACAGCCACTGCAAATGTAGTTTTGAAATTAAAACCATAACAAATGTACATAATGCCATAAATCATGTTTTGCTGTCACATATTTGAATAACTTACCGGACTCGAAAATTAAAATCCAAGCACCGTTAAAGAAAAGCAAAATACCAAAGCAAAACTCTACCGAATTACCAAATGCGCGCACATAGTACAAATAATCGTCTAGCTTCTCCCAGAATGTTTGACGGCGTGCATCTAGAAGGAATAGCGTATATGTGGCTAGGGAAACAAATACCTGGCAGAAAGTTTTTATTTTTATTTTATTTTAAGAAAACCATTTGTGGAGTATGTATGTATTTACCTTTACCACCACTTCAACGGAGAATGCGGTGACCGCGAGCAACCAGGTGGACGGCGAATGTCGTGACCAGAGCGCAGCGAGCAAGCAAACAGGCGTAATAACCAGAAAGGCGCACACAGTGAGCGCGCGTACATGGCGCTTGCGTGAAGGATTGCGTGCCGCACTCAATGACATTAGTATGGGCGATACGATATTGTGCAAAAAATGTAACAAAGCTGTGATCAACAAGCATAAATTGCGGCATAGACGGACGAAGCGTTTATCGGGTGCCAATGATGTGAGACCCGTTTGCAGTGCGAGAATGTAGAAGAGCACTGCAGAAACCGTCCCCAAAGATTTTTCCTCGTCGTTGTCAAATGTGAGTAGATACCATTGAAATGCGCGGCCGATGTAGTGACAAATCACCGAAATAATCGAAGTCATGCCCAGGACAGCCGTGAGCGTCTCACAACCATCGACTAGCAATTTTTGGATGGTGGGGAAGAAACTCAAAGTCGTGCTGTTGTCAGATAGCACAATTGAAATACACTCTTGGCCGATTCTGTAGAAAATAACGAACAAATATTATAGTTGCCAATACAAGTTTTTTTTTTTTTTTTTTTTTTTTATTTTAACTGCACTCACCTTATAGTCCAGAAAACACGTAGAACACTAGGCACATTCAATCGCTGCCATTCATTTTCGATTAATGCCGATAAGCCAAAATTTGATACAAAATTCATTGCATACTGATAACCATTATAAACGGTTTTAGCAGCGTCTATAGCACTGCTCAGCATTGTAATCTTGGTTAATATCAGCGGTACCGCTCCAGCTAGCACAGGCAAATCCTTGATAATGCGTGGCGGCAATGGTAACATTGCCAACAAAATGGGACAAGCAAATACGATCGGCATAATTTTTGGTATGGTTGGATAACGTGGACCCAAATGTACGTATGCGAAGAGCATGCCCATGAACCACTGGGCTACCAAATGTGGCACCAGCGACATAGCAACACCGCCTGTGTCCAGCAGTCGTGTCGTATTAAGTGAAAGCAAATCCTCCACTATGCACGGAGATTTCTCCATCACGGCCAGCGCAGATACATTCGACCAATATGAAAGGAAGGTCAAACCCAAAGAAATCACAAACATGTATACCATCACCAGGTGTCGAGTCCATAGCATGAATACGCAAGCAGCACTTAGGAAAACTACAATCAAAAATTTGTACAAATTATAAGAGTGGAATTTCAAAAAAAAAAGGCAAGGTTTATACATAAATGATGAAACAGTACAAATATCGTGCCCGAACCCTAAAATGTGTGAAGTTTTCGTTGTTGTTGTTGTTGTTGTAACGGCTACAGCAACCCCGCCCAGATCGGCTAGTCCCCCTCAATCGTTGTCGTCAAGCTGAACTAACCGGATACCCAAGAAGCGTGCAGCCTCTATAGGGTCCGACCATAGGGACAGTGGCGTTAGTTGAGTGGGGTTTAGTGTCTCTCCACATGCCGGGCACTCATTGGGCACATCTGCACCCTGTATGCTCAGTTAGGTGTGGTTTTCGTCTTCACTTTTGCTCCAATATATAAAGCGTGTGTGCTTGCAATTAGGTTCAAAAATTAACCATTTGCAGTGATTTTACATACAATAGTTATAAAACTTTATAAAAACTAAAGTTATTGAATTGTAATTTTCCGATGAGCACTGGATTTTAATTCACGGAAACTAACTTATTGATGTAAACGGTGGTTTTGAATTCTATTAGATCATTAGTGAGTAATCTACAGACATTTGTACAGCGCTGAATTTCGATAGAAAATGAGTTAGGGTCTTTTTATATTAAGGTAACATACATACGTATATTCAAAGTTAAACTTGCGATTTAAAAAAACAATAAACATATTAGCGGTTAAGTGCCAACTTCAATAAAAATGACACTTATGTAGAACAACATTAATTTCGCCACACAATTAATACATATTCGTTTAAGAGACTAACTGCATTGTTAAAAGGTAGTTCGTTAAACTTAACATTTAATTATTACCAATGATTAGAGTTGCCAGACGTACTGCTTTTGGGAGTAAGCGTACTCGTTTTTATTGCAATGTTTAAAAAAAAAAAATGTGCGGAAATGTAATCCGTTCTTAGTTTTGTACTTTTTTGTACTCCTTTTTGCAACTATTAATATTTTACCATATACATGATGTAAAATAGAAACTTTATAGATTTTGTGAAAAAAGTAGTTTATTGTTAATCATTCACAAATTTTGCTTACATTTTATTAATTCAATTTAAATTTTAACCATCATTTGGGTTTACCAGCGCCCTTTTGTCCAACATAAGGCCTCATACTCAGCAATCGAATAGACTCGGAACTGGTGACTAGGAGGCAATTTATACGATCAACCCTATACAGTTTTTTTTATACAAAGTCTAAGAAAAAATACATCTTAAAAAGACATGTGCTTATCTTCCACAGCTGGCAAATGCAAATAAGGATTAAGAATTTAAAACTAATTAATACAATTAAAGTAAAATACCTACAAAGTTAAAAAAAATACTTAAATAATACTAATTAATACAATTAATAAAATTAAAGTAAAATATTTACAAAGTTAAGAAAAAATACTTTTTTTTTTGCAAAATCTATAAACAACCCTTTTATTTTTCAAAAAACCTGTATGTCAGTTATTTTTTTACACCTTATACTTTGCCATTCATGTTGTGGCAAACACTACTTAGTAACCAAAGTTAAGTGTGATAGTGAAAAGGTGTAAGCATGGACGGAGCCAGGTAGGTGCAGGGCGCTCAGGTTTAAAAATGAGAAAAAAATCAAATTAATTATAAGGCGTAAATTAAAAAAGGGGACCTGAATGTGCAGGAAGAGTCTGGAATCCTTTTGTAGAATTTAGTTATTTATTTTTTACCATTTATTGTTGCTTTGAAAAAGATTTCTAAGTTACTTTTATTTGTTTGTACCTAATTAATGTAATTTGTAACAATAAATTGTTCAAAAAATTAAAAAAAAAATGTAGTTCTTTTTTATGTTTTGTACTACTTTTTTCTATCGAAATGGCAAACCTACCTATGATGCATTACGGTAACTCTACGTGTTAACAGTTCACTGCTCTACTTTTACCCATTCAAGGTTTTTAACGAATTTTCATCATAATTCTTTGCGTTTTCGTCTTAGTGTATACATCAACTAGCAATTAATAAAAATAAGCTGAACAACAACAAAACTGTTGAGTCATGACGACAGAGTGGTTTGGAGCGCAGCAAGTATTTTAGCACAACCATAAAAAGTACAAAGTTTATGAATATATCTATTGTGGTGGTTTAGATGCAGCATGCCTAAAAAAACTTCGATTGATTTGTGCTCAGTTATATAGAAAAATTGGGAAAACGTTCGCTTATTTTAGAGATAATTTATTATCACTTAAAAAATAAAAACTCAAAAAACAATTGCCATTTTTTTGCCTTCACTTACCAATTAAACAGATAACAAACTTCACAGATGTTATTGAGAGAACATCTGATAGAACCGTGTCCTGCGCTAATTCATTCATCATGATGCCAAAAGAACTGCTGAGTACACCATTTGATGTGGCTGTAGTCGACGCATTGACTATGGCGCGCTCCAGCAGGCTGTCTCCACCTGAGCTATCTCCATTGGTGTGGTTTCCAAGGTTGGCATTATTTAATTCAGGAAAGACAGCTGCCGAACCAATTGGCGCGTTGGTTTTACTGTGTGTTTGGTTTTCAATGAATTCGCCAATCGGGGATAGTCCTTGATCTATGGTTGCCGGATAAAAACGCGTTGGTAATCCCATGCTGATTTTCAGCACCTCATCGATGACTAAAATGGGTGGTACACGCATCATAACGTCCACTAGACCGAGTACTTTCGTGCGCACAGACATATTAGAGGCTTGTGCTTTTTTTACTATTAAGTTACCAAGTTTATTAAAAGATTTTGCTTGGATTGTAAATAATCTGCCTCGCAGATGGTATTATCTATCCGAAGAAGTCGTTCGTCGTGGGGCAGCAGCTAGTGGGTCAGTGACCAATGACGTGCACCTGACGCCTTGACCTCTAGTTGTTTTTTGTTTAATAACAAATGTACAAATTTTTGCGCAAAGATTGTCTACCATGGACTTTTGAATAAAACTGCTGATACGTCTTATTGAAGATTTTTTTTTTTTACCTATGGCGTTCTACAATTTTCGATGCGATTTACAAATTTGCAAACGACAGTCGTGGCCTTATCGCAGCCGTAAGTGTGTTTGTGTCCACACCTTCGCACCTTTTATTAATATATTCAAGCACAGATTGTGGACTATTAGATTTTTGCACTTATTTCCTTCTGCCAGACGTACTCTTGAGCCAATTGGAATCATTTGGCCAACAATTGCTGGTGTATGTGGCTGAAAAACTATTTTTGTTTACAATTATTTACACGCAGCCTTCAAGAAGTGAACAAAAATCCTGAAAAAACTGTTTTCATTTCCGAACTTTGCTTTCCTTTTTGACGTCGTGAATTTTTAACGCTTCTTCTTTCTGCTCGTGTCGTGATTTGACTTTTGTGAAATGTTTTTTTTCTTCGTTTTCGGCAGCTGTCTCATTCTGGCATATGTGTTTGCAAGCGAATGTCAGTTGCGTATTTGTTTTGGTCTGAGAAGAAATGTCAGTTTTTTGAAATTTAAACAGAGATGCCGTATTAACAAAGGAACTTAAGTCATTGTGAACGGATATCCAGCAGACAGAGAACGTATATTTATAAATATACGTTCTCTGCTGTGGAGTGAAATTCACGTAAAGCTTCGACAGAGAACGTTGATTAACGTTAAATTAAAGTTAAAAGTTTGGTTTTTATAAATTTGAGCGGTGATACTCCTTACATAGCACATATTTACGAGAATACGATTGAATTGCCATTACTGAAACTTGGCTTAACGACAATATTTCTTCAAATATATGTGTATTTCGTAAGGATCGCCACTCTTTTTGTGTTACCGATCATAAGAGCTGACTTGTCCAGTAATCAAATCAGTCTTAATCAGGGTGATGGTATGCTGGTTGAAGGATGCGTTAATATTAGGTTTACTAACAACAAGTCATTGATAGTTATTATGGGTGCGTTCAGAAATCAAGCCAAAGCATCAGTTTCTTTTATTTCTAAACTATAATTGGTGGAAAAGACCAATACGCGCAGGCACGGTTTGATAACGAAGTGGAACTTATTTGCTTAAATAAGTTATAACCATCAATTATGGTTTAGAAATAAAAGAGACTGATGCTTTGGCTTGATGCATTTCTGAACACACCCTATATCTTATATTTCTCCGAGCAGTGATATAACTATTTACAAAAAAAAAAAACACTTGGAAAATGTAATCTATGTAATAAGCATTTTGAAAGGTTCATATGAACTTATTTTTCTAGGTGATTTTAACTTGCCTAATATTTCATGACTCTTTCACGGAGATAATTTGCTACCACCTGATCTTAAATCAGGCATTGATATTTACATTATAGGCACGTTATTTTCTTATGGTTTCAAGCAACGTTGCGCAATTTTAAATGAAAATTCAAGAATTTTGAAGTAGTATTCTCTTCTGATGGTTGGAAAATACTCTGCGAGGAAAGCTTATCTCCAATCTCCAGAAATAGCATTCATTCATACATACATTGCATTTTTACAGCTATTGAGTCTAAGCCAGTAGAACAATATGATTACTACAGAGCGGATTATGCAAGCATCACAAATTCGTAAGTTCTGAACCCAAGGTAATGGAAATCAGTTGAGAAATGTAAACACACAATCTGCACAAATTATATATTTTTGTAAACGGCACATCAATACCTTGCGAACTGTAGGTCCTTTACGTCGATTCATAAGATTCGAAATATCTTGAAACCCCTTTTTTTGAAAAAATGTTGAAATTTTCTTGTTGAGCGACCAAAAGAAAATTTTCCAATTATTCTAGTGTAATTATATTATCGCTAGCTTAGAAAGAAAAGTTGCTAAGTCACATTTTAAAAAATTTTACAGGCGAGGAAAAAATCTTCCTTTAGCCATTTTCTTTAACTATTTCGCAAGACTTTGAATCAAACATTTTGCGCGTTTTAAGCAAAGCAAAACTCCATAAGAATCAGAAGGATTCGATATTTATTAAAAGATGTGGTATTATCCTGGCCTTATCGGATTTGTGGTGCTTCTTTTGGACTTAGCAAATTTTCCTTTTATTGCTTATGAAGAGGAAAAAATAAAACAAGTACCTTTATAATTTTCGAAACGATGCGTATCCAATTTCTCTAGCCTCCTATATCAAAATATGAGTTTTCATAAAAAGTGGACTTAGCAACTTTACACTCTAAGCTAGCGATATGTTTTATTATATTTTTTAAATATCAATTTAAAGAAAGAGCTGTCGAAATTCGACATCATTTTTATACACTTCAGAATTTTACTTGCCACCAAAATTGACTTTTTATGCGAATGACGATTTTGTCAAGATTGGGCAGTGTTGCCACGGATCTTTTTTTCCCTACCAAAACTTCCTATTAAATTCAACCAAAATTTTATTTAAGTTTTTAATATTAAAAGTAACTACGTATAACAATTCATTGTACTGTACAGACTTACACAAATGTTTGACTCTTTACAGATACATATTATTGTTATTATTACGACGGGGATACACGCGCTGCGACCTAAGATGATCTATTGTGCTTAATCCTAATTGTAATCACTCCAACCTTATTCTCTTTAAGAAGTTAAGCACTTTGGAATGCGATGTGTTTAAAATTTTGGATGAAGAAGGCAATCGTTCCCAAAGTGTATCAGTCTGCTATTTATGATACGTGGGCTGTCACACAGGATATGCTCTGGGGTTCCCTCCACCAGCTCTCAAAAGGCTAGGGAAGATGTAAATGCATTTGCGTTCCACGCTTTGCGAGACAGTCAGCTTTCGTTGCCTTCAAACCCTTCATGTCGCGGAACCCGACAGAGCGTTTAGTTACTGTGAGCTTCCAAGTGGTTCAAAAAAGTTTTACAGCTTTCTAAAAGCCTGCTGCCGTTTTAGAAGAAGCTTGGATATGTGTAAATTGGCAGACTTTCGGGAACTTTGGTCCAAATGCGACCGCCCCAGTACTCTTGTCGTCCATCTTTTATCCGTCGGTATACCATGCTTGCGACTTTCGTCAATCATAGTTATTATCACTTCGCAGTAGTCCCTTTCAGGAATTCTAACCTTGTAGGGTTGTCGGGATTATCCAGGAGTGGCTTCACAACCTGCAAATGACGCAGAATTTTCTTGCTGATCATATTGGGCAGTCATAGGGTGCTCCAGCAGGCCCCTTTTTCAAACAGAATAGACAAAGACAGGTACCCATTGGTCCTGTAATGGCCACGCGGACCAGTCGGTGCAGCTTGCTTTGCAGCACGCCTTTACTTGCGTAGCTTTTGGTCACCCGGACCGTGCCGCATATCGTCGTTTAAAGTATAAAACCGCGTATAAACAAAATGCCAAACGGCGTATGTGAGGTTGCGCAAATTATTTTCTAGAGAGTAAAAACACTCACTTCAAAACGGTTATCTCTTTTATAAAACAATCGCATTTCTGGCTAATATATATCAGGACGAATGGATAATGCTTGAGCTTGTATGAGCAAATCCAATTTTTAGCAAAAAATGTGAGTTGCGCGGTTTTGCAGAACAACGGGTCTTTCTAGCATAATAAAAGACCAATAGGTTAGTTTTGGTGATATTCCTCAAGTCTAAGAATGAAGTCGCTGTCAGGTGTACAATAGTGGACCCACCGGTGAAATATTCGTGTAAACAAGGTTGCTAAAACTTTTGGAAATACATATTTTATATTTTTCACAAATTACTGTTATTAACGTGGAACCTTCCAAAATCTAATCTAGCCTACCAACCTACCAAATGGAAAAAAATCTATCAATTTTGGAAGGAAAAGCCTATGTTTGGCAACATTGAGATTCGGTCACAGCCCAATATTTTTTCATCACGTGATTGGGCTACCAATCTACTACTACTAAAATGTGTTTTAAAGATGAAGCAAATGTACCATAAATAGGATTTTTTTTGGATAGCTCTCAAATCCTGCGTCACCTATCGGAAGACAAACACACTAATCCTTCTAAAACCCTGCACAAAATAGCAATCATCCAATGCGATTTAGAAATATGGGAAAAAATGGTTGCCTATTGAATGGCTCTTGCCATTTTATATGTGTATCCAATTCAATTACCTTATTATAAATGGTTCCAGAGATAAGCGACATGGCATACATTGTATTTTGTATGGGAGGAGATCGGAAGTTATCTCTCGTCGTACGAAAATCACACTCTATAAGTCACTCATCATGCCCGTGCTGGTATATGGCGTAGAAGCATGGACAATGACAACATCCGATGAGGCGCCTCTTGGAGTATTCGAGATAAAGATTTTGCGGAAGATTTACGGGCCCTTGCGCGTTGGCGACGGCGAGTACCGCAGACGATGGAACGATGAGCTGTTTGAGCTTTACAACGACATGGACATGGTGCAGCGAATTAAAATACAGCGGCTCCACTGGCTTGGCCATGTCGTTCGAATGAACCCCGACGCTGCAGCTCTGAAAGTATTCAACGTGGAACCCAGAGGAAGAGGGAGGCCCCCACTGCGATGGAAAGACCAGATGGAGAAGGACTCGACTTCACCTGGCATTTCCAATTGGCGTCAGTTGGCACAGAAAAGACACGACTGGCGTGCTTTGTTGAACTCGGTCAAAATCGTTTAGGCGGTTACAGTGCCAAATAAGAAGATATCCTTTAAATCGGTGTATGTTTCATTGAAATCGAGCGAACGGTGCCATAAAAAAAAGGTGTTCAAAATTTTTATATAGATGAACAAAACGTAATTTATGTTCAAGATTTAA